ATTTTGCATCGTCAATCTAGCCAGCGATCGGCGTTCCACGATCTGTCCGAACGTGAGAGAGGATAACGATAACGGGAGTGCACGCCTGGGAAAACGATCCGTCCGTCTTCCGTGAGACGTAAGCGCGGTCTCTCGTTGCATCGGTTCGCCCGCGCGCGCGTTGCGCTCTCGACGGCGCGGCCCACGGGGGCCCCCACGAGATATGTGTAATGCAATGTTATTCATTTCCGCGAGCCACGGCGACGCTGGCGAACCGATTAAACGACAATTTCAGGCCCCTATATGCGGCCCTACAACGCGTACAGCTTGGTCGCGGCTTTCTCGTCGAGCGGAGACTTTATATGCGCCGAGAGAGCGAGACAAAGACGGAAGAAGCGAGATAGCTCGCAGCGAAGTAATCGCGATAGAGCCGGTCCGGTGATCGTTTCTGCACACTCGTCGTGGCAATTAACCGCGGCAATAACGATTTTTGTCCAGCCGCGTAATGCCCGAGCGCGGACAAACACCATTATAAGCGACGTGCTGCCTCGGCGCAGCGCGACAAAAATCGCAATACAGCGTCTCGCATATAATTATGATTTGTTACAAAGTTTCGAATGGCTCTATAACGTTTGACATGGGGAAGACGCGATGGTTATATACGCGAGCAACGAAAGTGTACATTTAGGTGCCTTTAAAAGGTATATTAATGACGAGTCGCATGGCCATCGAAAACTCGCCCGACGAGTATCCGTCTCTCTTGACTCTAGCAGCCACTCTTCGAAGTCAATGGCATTGTTAAAATAAATGACAGATGTCACAAATCACCAGACGTCGTAAAAAAGATACGAATCGATAAAAATACGCGAAGCATATTTCTACAAAGATTATTCGAGATAAATATTTATCAAAAAACTTTTATATGCGATATTATTAAAGAAAACTTTAATTCAAAGATAGCCGTGACGCAATTCTATAAAAAAAAATAGCTGTAATTTTAGACAGATTATATCAACTTAATTATCAAAAATGCATGACTAATGAAAACATCCATTATCAAAAATTTGTCAAGCGCTTCATCGTGTGAGAAGTTAACGTTCGTCCTTGGTTACGTCCTGATGCTGATGAACGCTGCGCGCCGCGCCCGTGTTTAATAAATGTAATCGCGCACGATATCCACGGCGCGACGTTACAGCGCAGTACGTTCGGCGATGTAACGACGAAAAGAGCGGTTAAGCTTCTTCCCTCTCGGCGCAGCGTGCAGCAAAACCCGTAGGACAGAACGAGCGCTATAGTGAAGTCCACTGAGCGGCGGTTAGCCTGGAGGCAACGGCACGATGAGCGATGGATCGGAACGATTCGGGAACAGTACAATCGGATGGCGGATAGCAGCCGGAATAATCCCGAACCTGCGGTACGAAAGCTCCAGGGTGGTTAATCGATCGATCGATTAATTGGCGGTTGGCGCGCGCCCTCGCTAGCGAACCACTGCTTGCTACGGAAAATACCGATTGATCAGAACAATAGATTGATCGTCTGCATGTCCGATAAGGCCAGCTGATAAGGTGCCGGGGCATTGTTCCCCGTTGCAAACAATTAATGATACGTCGCGATCGATAATCGACTGACCGTTCCTAGCTTCGCAGTCGCGAAGCTCTAGGCTACTTTCTCCGGCGTCTTTCGCTTGCACGGAGCCGCGGAAATGTTTCTCGGCTAGCCACTTCCGCGAGATACACTTAATATGAAAATACAAAGTAGATACAAGATGTTTTAATTTGTGTGACGTATTTTTACAAATTTTATTAATTCGAAAAGCGATAAAATATTAAGATTCATTTTCAGTTGTATATTCTATCTTGAAAATTTGAATTGATCTCTTCAAAGAAGTTGCAATAGTTTGAATTATTGTTTGTTAAATTCTCAAACTGCGCGCTTCTTATCTAGATTTTGCACTTTGAGCTATCCGGATGTCAAAGCGTACAAATGTCCGGTGCAATAAAGTTCGAATGAAATTGACAGCTCGTCGCTCGGAACTGAAATTCACATTTTCCAGGATTCCACGAGAGATTGCCGATTCGCGTCTCCATGAAGCTCGAGGTATTCGTTTTCAGTTACGAACTGACGCTCGAGGCTTTCGCTGACGTTCGACGCCCGAGACAGGAACACGCTTCTTCCTCATATTAATCTAGGCTTGTTGAGCCCGCTTCTTATCCATAACGGATTTTTCTACGTTTTTGCCGTAGCCTCGCGCAACACAAGCACATTATCTCTAACGTGCTTCGTTCCCCACCGCGATTATCCTCCCGGCGAACGGTAAATCCCTTTCCGATGGACGATGGGCGGTCGTCAAATGTCGACTTGAAAACTTGACGTTTGTCTCTTTGTCCGCGCCTAGGATAATTTTATCGTTAGCTGTATCAATGTGCGTGGTATCATATCTTCTTTTTACAGACGTAAATTCTTGGAAGAATGACGCAATAATCTGTCTTTATCCTTTACGCATTCGCGCAAGGATCTTCCTTTGGAAAGTCGAAACTTGTTATCTCGAGCGGAACGTAAGAATAATCTTACAGTCGCAGTACTAATTTTGCTTTATATCTTTATTTTGAAATAAATGTGTTTGTTTCTATCTCTTGCTAAGTATGTTTATTCCGTTGTTACTCGCATGAGTTAATGTTTCATGACGAATAACGCTTCTGTACATCGTCCTCCAGCGTATCGTGTTTCCATATAAAACAGTACGCGCGCGTGTTACTCGTAGAACTCGATTAAACTCGAAACTATTGCGCGCAACGAGTTCACTGGGTTTCTAAGCTTCAGACGTACTCGTTCGCAAGTCGAATGTGTGCACGCTTCTCCTCGGTGAGCTTTTGTACGAAACGGAAATGGTAGGATGCAATTATTGCAGTCGCTGGCTTTCCTGTCTGCGCGCGCCAGCCGCGAGTGCATGACCGCCGACGGTCGATTAACTATGGCCTTCATCGCAACATTGATGCAAATAGGCGACATATATGCAACAAGGATCAAGTATCCGCCTCGAATTTTTGTAGACAATTTTATGCACCCTCGCTGTTCTTTCTCCCGTACAAAGGCAGATGATGGTTCTTTAGAATGCAAACGTGAATATTTTTTATTTCAAAAAAGAAACATATAGAAGAAACATACATATATAGTCTCGCTCCTGCTCTTGATATTTTTGAGAATATTGATAAAGCAAGGCAAGGCACAAAAGATCTTGAACGATGCTTAAATGGTTTTCTTCATCGTACATCGGCGAAGGAAAGTTCTATGCAGCGATAGCAGCATAATTGCACGTTTCGCTTACATCATCGCGCAATTTTAGCAGCGAACATTTTAGCGCATAACGTGGGCTAATTATTATCGAAACGTATCCCATAATCGATCGATATTAATTACCACGTGCTTTCACTATGTGATCTTTATAATCGACAGTAATAAACGTTTCAGCGTAATTAATCATTGTCGTCCTGGAAAAATGTAAGCAGACTTGCCACGGGGCATTGCGATAGTTGGTTCCTTTCGGAAATTTCCTAAGAAATACTAATGAGACTTTCCATCTTTGAACTTACGCTTGTAGTGCATTAGTACGCTTTATATTTAGCTCTTTCCTCGGCGAATCTTTCGTCATGAGTTGCTTCGTCGGGAAAAATTCGCGAAACGCTGTCTGAGCGCCGAGAGATGCATGCGCCGCGTCAAGAACAAACAAAGAGATGCTCGCAAACGAGTTCCGTGGGCAATTATAAATTACTTTGAATTAAATCGATGGCAACCACACACCACCGCCGCGCACGACGGATCTTGGCAAAAACTTTGCGCTTTTTACGATCACATATGCGCAAAATCTTTTACGGCGACGCATAATTGCAACGTGGCGAAAGGAGTGATAAACAACGCTCGTACGCAACTGCATTGTAAGACAGGACGGGCTGTCTTCCTCATCCGGTTTTGGCTCGCTCGCTTGCGCGTTGAATTTATCGGTATGCTTAATTGCCGCCCAGGATGAAACTCAAGCTTAAAACACGAGCCCTTTCATCGTGTTTTTTTTTCGCATGGATACATCGAAGTTGCACGATAAATAATAGAATTTATTAATATATGAATTTAATGAAAACCGATAATTCTCCTTATTCTTCTATTTTTATTGTATTTTGCGAATTCATTAAATCTTTTTTACTTTGAAGCAAGAACACCCATCGTTAAACAATGTCAAAAATAAAAAAGTAAATATATCATAATTTAGTGCTTTCTTAGTGCTTTTTCTAGAAACCATGAACAAAATTAAACTATATATCTCTCATTTCTGCGAGCATTATAAATTAAACATCAAAGGAACCGAAAAAGTAACTTAATGAGCATAATAAATTATAGGTGCACAAATATAACGATCGCAAACTTAATACTGTTTCTAAACCGGTATGAAATGCTTTGCGTGGAAAATCGGATGAGGACGCGGAGAGATCCATCGCGCTCTATAACGCCAATTTGCATGACCGATGATCGGGCCGCTACTATACACCAGTGACTAGGTGCATCATCATTACGCACTACCGAGATACGATCAAACTGTCCGTAATAACAGTCGCACGACCCCGCGCGCGTACACGGGAGAGCAAGGTCGCGTTTATTAAATTACGTCAAATTATTGGTACGCGTCGAAGGTATCCGGCCGGCGTTTAAACATAAAATAGCCTCGGCCTCGCTGGTTGTTTAACAGTGAGCAATCATGCTACTTTCCCAATTAAGTCGCTAATTTTAGCAGAAAGCGTGCAATTACGTGCATTAGCGTGCACAGAACCAAATTCTCGTGTAATACGTCCGCTGACTCACTTAATCGTCGGTCGATGACACAATGCACGCGTGCGATATAGAACTAAGTTACAGTAATTAAGTTATTTTATCGTCAATTATAAAAATTGTTTAACTGTTCCGAAGCAAAGCATGTTTTTCCTGTAATTATTTAAAATTTCAATTTTAATGTGTTGTTTTATTTCCGCTTGCAGATTCGACCGATGAAGGGCTAAAGAAGGCAAAGAGCGGTTCGGATGAGCAGCCGTGGATCTCCGACGTCGTTCGATTAATCAAAATTTGCAACAGGAGCTCAAAGGAAGAAAGACAGAAAGATGCGGAGATATTTCCGCGACTTCGCCATTCTTTCAGCGTTAATTGAATCGCAGACGCGAAAGCCATTCAAACTCGTCGTCCGATACACGATCGCACGTATCTATGCCCTATAAACACATACACACATACATACACGTACACGGCACGCATAGAGGACCCAAAAACCTGATCAACGCCGCGTACTTCCTGTGATCGTCGATTAACGATAAGCGGAATAATCAAAAATAGCGACGCAGCGGAAGGAAATATGTTCAGGTACGAATAAACACACGAATTATTACATGTAATACTGTAGAAAAAGATGACGACCGAAACGATTCCAAAGAGTATCGAGACTATAAACACACGACGAAGCAAAGCAGTAGAAGTAGTACGCGTAATTCATCTTAAAAATATAAAAGTGAGATCTATTCAAGAATTTTTTATATTTGAAACAGTTGCGTGAATATTTTTTTGTGTCTGGAAAATTAAATTAAAATATTAGCATGATGCAAATTACTTTCACGGCAAAAATGTATTTAAATGTGTATACTTAATATCATTTTACATACATCATTTGCTTTGTCTTCGTTACAAGTTAGAAGAAAAGGATCTTTTCGATTTTTCTGGTTGAAGATCTGATAATAATAATATCTACTTCAATGTAGGATTTGCATCCTTTTGGCGAAACAAATTTCCAATAAAAAATATATCAAATAAAATAAATTTTTGATTAAAATATAAATGTTTTGCCATTGGCAAAAATAATATTTATCGATGATAAACGCTTACTACAGCATAATATTATAGTATTGATAGTATTGTCAATATTTTTCGATTTTTTTATTTTACATAAAAGATGAAGAAAGCTTTAATTCCATGAAGTATACTTTCGTTACTCTTTGCTGTCGATTGAGAATAGGAATCGGAAAGTTGGGGGGAAAAGATCGAGTCTACGTGCTGTAATTGCACATTTTCTAAAGAACTATACGACTTGCGTACGCGTACATCAGAACATCGCCTCGTACACGAGTAGTAGACTTTTTTATAAAAGATGCGCTTCGACGGACCTTCAGAGTCTGGCGAACTGCATAGTTAAGGACACGAATGCCATAATAATGACCAAGTTTTGTGGTTGTACTTAAGTCATATTTTATATTCTACTATTAAGATGCTAAGCGTAAGTTACTTCATATTCCATTATCAAAGTGTCTTTATCACGGTTATCGCGCTATGTTTTTATCTTTGTATCGTCAAGCTGGACGGCGAATCGACGTCATTTCGCGTCGGTTGCCGAAAACTGGCGCAAGCTGTGAGAATCTTGTAATACTGTCTACCTGCACTTGTGATCATATATTTAACTTGAATTTCAGAGGATAAATTGAGCATTCAATTACCGATTTTCAAAGTACGATTAAATATGTACAGAGTAAATTTTATCACAATTTGCCTTGATAATCATTTAACGTAAAAGATTTAAAAAAAAACATTAATTAATAAACTAAATTATAAATTGGATATTGTTTTTTAAATTGGATAATTAGCAAAACAACTTGAAAACATTTTTACAATCTAAGCGCTCAGTTTTTCTATGTTTCGTATATATCAGATTTTTGAGTCCAATTTTAAATACTGGCATTTTATACCAGAAATAAAGTAATTTTGGGCACGCGACGAAATCTTAGCTGCGATACATAAAATTCTATTATAGCATTTATTTTTATTTTAATGTTAAAAAATCCATCGACAAAAATATCGTCTGTGACAATTGCGATCGCATGGACGCAATATAGACGATAACGACTAACTCTCTCATCGAAAGTCAGGTGCGAGACCGCCTCTCAGTTGATGGTCCCGACCAAAGGGCTCGTTTGGACCTTGGTCTCATTTTTGTGATTATTATTTAAATACACGTTAAGTAAACAATAGAATAGATTAGATTTGTTATAAGTAAATATGAGAATAGCCGTTGTACCGGTTGGTCTTACAGAGATGATATCAATTTCTGTTCAACAGCGGAAAGAAGCGCAATAATCAATTATCCGAGATATTTTAATTATGCTCATATATAATATGTTTATCCAAGAAAAAAAAATTGACAGATATTCTTTGATTATCTGCAAGATGAAACATATCAAATGTGCGATGAAAAAAAATCGAAAATAAGTGGCCTTCTTCAAAGAGAAAATTATGAGCTAAATGAAAATGTTCAACAATCAGGATACGTTTGTCACAACTAGATATATTACGAATGTATAATAAGTTTCTAGATTTACAGTACGAAGTATATAGATTCTATTATCATGGATATTATATCGCGTAACGAATTTGTATGGAAGGCACTCGGTCCCCTTTACGACAGAACTCTGTGTGTTATAAGCGTGTGCCGAGTGAATGCGCTTATTTCGTATGTTGATGTTCTCAGAGAGTATAATTTTGCCATGATGACGAGCACCGAAAAAAAAAGAAGAACTTCCAACAGAGAGCTTATAATGTCGATATCGCGCAACTAGAGTTATTTTTCTAGTTCCTGGGGGCATTGGGTGTCAATGGATCTCCGTATGAGCAAAAACGAACAGATCTATACGATATAGCTGTACAATCGGCTTATCAATATCACTGTATCGTCAGACACGTCCTCGCGGCGAAATACTCAAACGCGTAAGGGTCGAGGATCGTTGTGCCTTCGTGTATGCATGTTAAAATACGTTTAATGATTGTAAGAAGAGCAGACATCCACACTTTGTGATTCTATAAGCAGTTGTTCATTTTTTATACTTTCTTTAATGCTTACCTAGGATAGCTTGTGTACTCTAAAGAGAGTGTTTCAATAAAAATCACAGTGAAATAACTTGCAATTTAATACCTGTATCTCTTTCCTACAATTATTTATTCTTTTGTGCAAAAAGTAAAAAATTTTCTCCGTTATACTTTTTATTACTTTTAAAATCTTTTTCCTAACTCACAATATTCTTATATACAATTATCTTTATTATTTATTTCAATAAAATATTTTTTATGGAAAAAATTTTAAAGTCGTTCAAAGAAATAGATAAAAAAAGACTTAAAATAAATTTTTCGCAAAATTATTGATATTCTAAATAAAATAAAACGCAAACTTATTCATCAAATATTTTATTGCATAAAAATCGTTTGGATCGAAATCTAATTTACTTAATTGTTTATATTACAGGTGGGGGAGGGGATTATACAAAGGACGACACAGCGAATAACATGATTTATTATTTTTTTATATTCAAGGTATCTCGAATGAATGTTACAAGCAATAAAGTAATCAAAGATAATGAATGAAAAGCGATAAAACTAAAATCCAATATTACACCTCTTTCGTTAGTGATTACATTATCTCATTTTCGAATGACTGATTTTTTTTCGCAGTTAGCATTTTTTCTCGTTTTCTTCTCTTTCTCTTTTTTTTCTTTTTTTTTAATAATTTGTACTTCTCTTGGCGCAATCTCTTGGCTCTCTAATTTTTAAGGAGCCAATCAATTGCTTTCCAACGTTGACAGATTTGCGAGGTTTATTATACTTTATCGTATAACGATAATGATATTCAGGAACGATGCCACTTGATTCACGAATCTTGGAAAGAAAAGTTCTTCGCGAGAGATCGCGTTTATTAAACTTACTTCAATCAGTGCAGTTTTATGTGTCTATAATTAGTCGAACAAATGCCTTGGTAGACTTCCTAAGTTATAAAAAATATTTATTCAATGAACTGAGTGCTAAAGTTCTTTTATCAGTGGGAAAAAATGTAGAAGGAAGAATTGCTCAAACGTCGATCTCTCATTCGTTGACGAGTATACGCAAATTGAAACATATACTACGTAAAGTAATGTGTAAATCAGGCCGCATCGTTGCAATAACGATGGCAAACGAGTGTTTGCCGTCGTTATATATTCCGCTTAATAAAATCTTGTTGATTAAAAATAACGAAACGCTAGTTATATAATAACTTTTCTAATTAACGATTATTTGGTAATATACAAAGTAGTAGAAAAGAGGGAAAAGCAAGTCCATCTCCTATCTTGTAGATTTTTCTTCGTAAATATAAAAACGTAACGCGTAGTATCTAAAGTATATGTACGTGTTCCAGGACGTTTCGAAGATGTTCTGATCGCGCGGAGAAATAGGATAATTAGTACAAATCAATTTCAATCGGATAATCGCTTCTTAAACTTTTTCAGTGATAAGCGAGAAACAATATTTTATTTTCAGAAAGAAAATGTAATTTATTGTAGAATTAATGAATCGCTCAGCGTTGGATGACACTTCGAATACAAACTGTCGAATTCTTATTGATTTCATATATTAAAATTTGCACGAGCAATTTATCACGTTGAAAATTAGCTCAAGAAAAGAACGGATTGTCGAAAATGCGTCGTTGAAAAGTCCCGAGCGTAAAAAGACGAAATCGTCGCGAACTTTGAAACTTGTCCGCGCGATCGTTGCTGCCGCATCGTGGAACTCACGTTTTAATTGCATGCGTACAGCTTTAATATTCCTTCTCTTTTATGTAATGTATCGTTATAATGTTCGTGTAACAATAAAGCAATACGCAAATAGTATTGAAGACTTCTCGTTCGGAGGTGGCTGCTTGTGTTAGCGCGTTCCGTGCATTCGCGCAGAGGAATTCCATTAGCTCTAAGACACTTCGCTTTTTTACGTATCTTTATCTAACGCATTCTCTTTCCGTCTCCCCCCCCCCTCTCTTCTAATTCTTTTCTCTCACTTTTGCTCTCGTATACATTCCCTTTTTTGCCCTAAAGTGCATCTTGCAATCAGCAATATAATTAATGAGCCGCCAACATTCTATTTTCTGGTATATATTTCACTCGGAGCATACAATCCAGAACTGTCGTTGTATTTCTCGATTTTTTAGTCAATTTAGAGTTGGCTTTTGTGATCGATTAGAGTAAATATAATATACTAATGTATTCTCTAATATATAGAAATAAAAATCTTTTACAGATTTTTAAATAATTGCCCAATTATTAAATTAGTTAATAACTATTATAATTAGTATTTCTCGGCATTTAATAATTACTTTTATCATTGCGCATTTACAAGAAATTCAAATAGACATACGAGATTCCTTGATTGTTCGCAAAAATAACAGAGTCGTGTTTCCACTTTGATTTTTCAAACATGATTTTGTCGCTGCCTTTTTTTTGCCAGCATACAATTATCAATCTCATTTATCTTTTTCTTTTCGAAAAAATACGTGGCAAAATACCAATCGATAAAAGAATTGTAGGTAAGAGCCGAATATATTCGCTTCGCACGTATTTCTCATGGAAGGAGTTCTATAATAAAGAGTGCGCGTAACTAAGTGTTTCTTCAATCACAGTTCTGCCAATTTGAATTCTATTCTTACTTAGCCAAATATCAGGGAAGATGATCGCTTTCATTTTTTCCCAATACTTTCCAATATTTAATGATATCTCGAATTAAATTAATACATTGAATTAATATCCTCTTCCCTTAAAATAGATTTAAGAATTTACGTTTACTATCTATTTACCTTCCGAGCGAAAAGCTTTTCGTTTTTTTTCAATCGCAAATAACGCAAAAAACTTTCCGTTACACAAACTGTTTTTTTTTTTTAGTAAAGTACCAATCTCGAAAAATGCTCCGAATTGGAACTTTCTTTATATTGACGACTTCCTCCATGGTTCTAGTCTAGAATTACGACTTCTCGAACTCTACGCCTTAGCACGAAACTATCGCTTTTTCAGCCGCTTCCGATATCTCTGTTCTATTTCTTGTACGATAGTAATCATAATTCTTAACGCTATCCGTCGACCCGAACGAATTATGCGGATCGTCCCTGTCATCGGCATAAATATTAACGAACATTTCCGAGATTCGCTCGAGTCGCCGCGTTGCAGTCGGCGCTCTTATTAGTTTAGGGAGCTTAATCGACATTAATTTCTCTCATACTTCCTCACTCACAAAATCAATTCACTCTCTTTCTTTCCTTCCTGGCACTCTATATGACTATCTACTTTTCCTATCGCTTTGTCGATCGTTTCTAGCATTGCGACACGCCGCATTTTATATATCCCGGTTTATTCTTCTTTAATTCTGCATATTACTTCTAGGTGATTAATATTGACATTGATGACCGACATAAGACTGTTCATTTTTTTGGATAGCTAGTGCTTTCGATTCTTAAAGAAAAGCACACAAGGAAAAAGCAAAACTATAACAAGACAATTCAAAACTAATCATCCAAAACGTCGTAATAATTCATTCTTCTAATTCTTCTTTACTTATTTAAAATTTTTTCACAATAAATTTTATAATTATATAATATCGCAATTTCCGACAAATTAAATCTTTTTTTTGGATATCAATAAATAAACGTATCACGAAGCTGTTTGTTGGAGAAATTCAGAGATTAAATTTGCACGTTCACACACTTGCACCGAGTATATTTATTAAAAAGTTTGCAACATAGTTGCTCACCCACTGCCTATAAATAAGTAATGCGAAAAAGTGACCTAATTTCACGCGAAAATATCATATATATTTTGCCGAACGTTTCGTATTTTTTCTGGCATTACATCATTTCCATATCTCGACTTTTCGACAGGGGCGATTAACAGTCGTACTCATAATGCAATAAGTTACACGATTTGTACGATTTCTCGTGATTCAATGTCTAGGATACGGATCGGCAATGCTCGATCGCGCTACGTTTTATCTTACGCTAAATACTAATCGATACTTGCATGGCGCTTTATTTGCAAAGAATATTAATTAATCGTAAGAATAATCACAATTACATATAATTAAATCATAGAAATACATCACAGAGAATTATATCTTTCCCCCTCCATTTATATTACCGACTTCGTATAGGATCTCCTAGAATAAATGCCAGTCAGCCAAATTCGTTAATGCGTGCATAATTTCTCATCGTTTCCCAATCCCGAATAATCCTTTCACCGAAACGTTCGATCTACATACGGCGATAAATTGTGTCGTCTCTAACGTCAAAGAACGGCTCGTTCTTTCTCGGGGCAGAATTTTGACAAAAAGATTTGAATCTTACAATCCGAAAAAACTTTTTACGTGGAAGGATTACACGCGTCATCCTCTCTTACAAATGCCTAAACACAAATCTCATTCATACTAGTGACGGATTTCAAGCTCCAAATTGAGCAATGACGTAAGACATGAAATAAAAACAGAGCCAAGACAATAATAACAACAAGTTCGAAACAACTAACCCATACTTTTGATGCATATATATTTTTTTCAATAATTAACTTTAGTTTCTTTCATTTCTTCATACCTTTTTAATCCTATTTTTATTTCGAGTCTTCAATTGGAAGCTCCATGATTTATGATTGACAATCGTAACATCACTCTTCACGCGTCATTACGGAAATCTATCATTTGTTAAGAATTACAGTTAAAAATAAATAATCGTAAATTCGTAAAACAATTCGAAAAGAATGAGACGAATGAGATTATTTGTCATTAAATCCGCCACTGATTCACGCAACACACACTCTGTCGCATATATGTCTCTTTTTGCTCTCATTTTCTCTCTCAGATCGGCTCATCCTCGACCGGTTATAATTACTTATTACAAACGATTACACTCAAAATTCAATGGCAGTCTGTTCTTGTGTGTGAGCAGCGTTTACGGCGTGCGGACAACATTCGCTTCATCTGGCAAAATCGCATTCAGATCCGGAATGAGAACGTATGCGGTAAACGCGGCTTGAACTTGAGGAACTTCATTCTTTTTTTCCCGATCGCGTTTAGAGTTTCAATTTTTTTTTTATTATTATTATTTATTAATTGCGCTCACAC